TTAGCGGATCTCAGAAGAGTCAATACCCTGAGTCATTCCACATGCTGGTGGTGCCTTTGCACCACAGAGGATAGGGGGATGAAATCTGAACGAGGCTCTTAATGGTTTTGGCTTCCTACACACTGGGTATCATCTTACAACATGACGTAATCAGTCAGAGAAGAATTCCCGGGCTGGAAGACAGGATCTAACCACATCTGCTTTCAAGGCCCTGCAATTATATCTTCTCCCTCCAGCACTGTGAAGTCAGTCAGATACGACATCCTTCTTAAAAGTGATTAATGCTGTTCTCACTACTTAAAATGCCAATTGTTTCTCAAAGCACAAAATTTGAAAGATAGACTCTCAGTCAGAGAGTAATAATGTGTGTAGAATGGTAGGTTGGTAACCAGGGCTATGAGAAGAAGGGACTTGAGTCTGGGCTCTTTTTTGCTTGTAAGCATAGAGTTTCTTTCTTTTTTATTATTAATTTTAATGGAAGTTTACAGAGACTTACGTTTTCTAGTCATTTGTTGTTGCACAACATAGGGTTTCTTTAATGTTGGATTTTGGGGTTTTTTTACACGCAAATCTCTTTATTGGAAGGGGAGGGATCACCACCTTCATGGCCCAGCCTCCTCATGGTCACTTTTTCCTGAATCCCCTGCCACCATCACGTCCAACAGCTCCTCTGGGGTGGAGAAGGGTTGGATGATAAGGTCATCAAATGAGCCATCTACCCACAAGGCCAGCCCCACCGAGGTCGGGGCTGGGGACTCACTGTCTCGCTGGTGAAGCCACACTCGAACTGGGTCTTGGTGTTCTCCAGGAGCTGGTTGTCCTTGTACAGGTGCTGTTCCTCAGATGGGGGCTTCAGGATGCCCTCGATGATGTGCTTCAGCTCGGACACGGTGCTGGACTCCTTGGCATCTGTGAAGATGGTGGTGGTGTGGCATTGAATCATGAGAAACACGTCCGTGTCTGAGGCTCCCTCCACCTGTTGATGCACCAGCCAACCCTTGGCTCTTTTTAAGAGAAGCCGCTGCTACTAGCAATGCAAAGCGGGAGTGGTGGACTACCAACCAGGCCACAGGTTCCAGTTCAGTCTCACCCACTGACATCTGGGAGGGCTGTTCTCTGCAGGGCTCTTGGACCTGCTACTTTATCCTTTGCTGCAAGAGCCAGACCCCACACAGGCTACTCCAGCTAGGCAGTGCCTTCCTACCCTGGCAAGAGAGACCTTATTTTTTGTGCCAGTAACATGCACATCTTCTTCTTCTTCTCAATGTCAAGAAGACAAAGATTCTCACCACTGGACCAATTGGCAGCATCAGGATGGATGACGAAGAGATTGAGAGTGTTCACAGCTTCA